TAAAAAATACTTCAATTACGTTGTTAATTATTATCAAGACCATGTGAAGCGAAACAATGCCTCAATACTATACTGCACACCATCAACAGCATTATAAATCTGCCCCTTAAGACAAAGAAGTGGTTCAATGTAACTGCTTTTTAATGATCCAAGGGAAGATACTGTTCTATAAAGAGAGCCTTAATGCCCCATTTTGATGTTATATACAGCACTATTACTAAAACAAGTGACAAGGAGTTGCATGGCATGCATCATTTGCTGCCGAAAATTCCTAGCTAGAACCTCCCGGTGACATGCTATAGAGTGAAGATGAGGCAAAGGCAGGCTTGCTACTAACCTGTGGTTGTTCACTTGGAAAAATTTTTTTTTCTCCATTAAATCAAAAACTAGCCTTCTCAAACTTTCTGCTTGTCTTACTGACAAACTATGCTATGCGGCAATATAAAAATCATATTTTTACTTGAACTGCTACATTGTGAAAATGAGGCTGCAATATGAGTCAAAATGCTATTTTTCCCAACTTTTCCACAATATTGTCACGGAGTCATGACGTGGCCGAAGACAGGAGACTTCGTGTTGGGATTTAACTGTTTATTTGGGCGAACCTGTGCCCGGTAAACGGAAAGTCCAATTACAGCAGCAGTCTTGCACAGATAGCAGTCTCGGACTGATAGCGGCGAACGGAGCGTCGGCCTTCGATCAACAACTGACAAGCGGCGAAGCGCGCCCGCATTTATACTCTTGCCGTCGAATGTTCTAGCGTTATTGGTGGCGGTGGCGTAAATTCCAGAACAATCTGTACCATTCGCACAGTGGGCGTGATTTCATCGAAATGATCTACTACAGTCCGGAACCTTCTCGAAAACTGCAGGCGCGGTTTGCGCTGAGAATCGTGTGGTGTTTTGGGACGATAACAAAAACTTGGGAAATGGAACGTGGCAATATTTTGGCAATATTTTTGCTTCACTCACTCCCGAAGTATTTTAATAGTTTGATATAGACATGCATAAAGCAGCAATTGTACAAATATTACTGGCAAAGAAATTTGTGCTTTTTATAAAAAACAGTAAATGTGCCGCATATTGAAATTCTTTGCCAAAATGAAAAAGAACGAAAACAAAATGCCAATGATAAACTATCACAGCCTCGAAATTAAGGAAACACATTCTTCTGTATTGTTTACTCAAACCAGCAATTTTATATAAATTATTTGGCGTGACACAGTTAACAGAAAATTGACCGGGTACACTAACGGGGCCCTGAAACCCTTATTCAAGAAACCATAGAATAAATTCAATGGAAGAGCTTATTGCCTCATGAATTCAACAACGCAAGAATTTTAAGAATCAGTCCAGTGTGAGTGGAGTTACAAAGATTTGTTGCATGCTGCAATTGCATTCTCTCTTCTCTCGTCCCGACTAAAGTGCTGGAAGCTAAGCAGGGAGGGATGGCAGGGGCAAAAAAAATACGTCACCCACACCTCGTGACCTTGAGCACTTTTTTTTTTCTTCGAATGCACGGGGCTTTTTTAGTGTGATCCTGCGCGCACGCGTGGACAAGTTGCGGCCCCTTGTGGCGATCTCTGTAACGACCGAGAGCGTCATGTTCAAATCAGCCAATGGCTGATTAATGGGCTTGCTACAAGTGATTTCTGAGTGTCTTCTGTCATTTGCCGAAAGAGGAGAAAGCAATTTTTAGCCGACTTCGATAATTGTGAATTCCAGGTCGTATGCTGCGCTGTATTTGGCTCTCGTGTTGTCGGGAGCCCCTACTACCAATCAGCAGCGTTTTCTGACTATGCTCAAAAAGTGTTGCAAGGCCCCTTTGATATAAAATGACCCTCACAAGCGTGTGTACGTGTGCATGTTTAAAATCCCTTTTTGTATTTTTGCAATTCTAGGTATGTAGGTGATCTTTGTATTTGGGACATTTTCCAAACTGGCTTGAATATTACACGATCACACTTGTAAACTTCCCAGATATTCTTTCAGGCAGCTATTTAACTTGTACAGCATGAATAGGGGTATCAGTAACTATCCTGGTATCTGGTAGAACATTTCCTATGAAACATCTTTTATGCACGAACTTGTGGACTAATGTAACTTTTCCTGGCATTCCTTTTCTTTCAATTGTCAAAATTAACTCAAGTGTGTGCCCGGTGAGCATTCTACGCTACCCCTCAGAAGGAAAAGTGAGCCAATAGTGTTGCAGTCGTACGGCCGTTTCTACTCTTTCTTTTGTTTCCCCTGCGTCTTCCCGATGTGCTCTCTTCATAATAAAGCGCTAATCGAGGCTAACAAATTATCGAGTAAAGCGGCGTGCATATGACTAAAAAATCACTGGTGACCATGAGCACTGGTGCTCTTATATTGTGTTGAGGTCACTGCACGCAAGTACTTCAGCTGACTGCGCTTGTAATTAACCATTTTTTGTAATTATTCTTGATTCTTGCATGCACAATGACACTGCTTTATTAGCTGTGCAAACAAGTTTCTTTTCGTTCCTTTGTTATAGCTGTTCATTTTGCGTGTTTTTATACACACACCAACATTTTCAAGTTCTATCCCTACAGCTGGGCCCCACTGATGTTGCCTGACGCATAAGTTTTTTCATTCTGTTGTTGCACCAGGCACTAACAAAACTCTTAAACGTGAGTAAGCTTTTTCACACACCACACCAATAAAGATAAGTAGACTTCAAGTGCCCCGTGTGGATTGATTGATTGATTTGTGGGGCTTAACGTCCCCAAACCACCATATGATTTTGAGAGACGCCGTAGTGGAGGGCTCCGGAAACTTCGACCACCTGGGGTTCTTTAACATGCACCCAAATCTGAGCACACGGGCCTACAACATTCCCGCCTCCATTGGAAATGCAGCCGCCACAGGCCCCGTGTGGAAACAAAGCGTGAAAAACTATAGAGCATAACACACACGTCTCGCTCTCCATGCGCTTCTACGCCCGCAGAACCAACAAGTCCGGCGCAGCAAGGACGTGGTGCGCCACTTCACCGCAAAAGGCCTGCGCAAGAACCGCTGCTTTCGACACTCGTTTTATTCTAGGTCACTATATCGCGACTGAAGCACTCAACACATCACAACGAAAGACCTAGTTAGCCGATGCGATGCCCCAGCATTGACTAAACAAGAAGGCCGCTTCATGAACAGTGGCACTGCGGGAAGTGGCGATGGCGACAACAATGCGGTCCGACAGCAGTCTGTCACAAGGCTATTCATCACGGAGCTCTTGTGTAGGTTGTGTGAGTGCAAACCCGATGAGAGAACCGTCATTGGGGAAGAATATATGAGACCATTTGTGCAAAAATAAAAAAGAACCTATACTCGACACATTTGAACAAAAGAAGGAAAGAGAAAATGATAAGAAATAAAATCAGATAGTGCAAAAGAGCTAAAGTTAATAAGGCTAGAAAGCTGACAGCTAAATGCAAACGGTGCTTCAGGAAACGACAAACGACGGTCACCATTCTGTAGCGGAGCAAGCGCAGACAACGAGGCTTGGTGTGACGAAATGTAGTCGGGGTCACGGTTTCACTTGGAGGACATGTAGCTTCGGTTAACCTGAGGTCAGCACCCTTTGGCGTTCCTCCTCCAACACTTGCACTTGGATCTGGAGACGGACGAGAAGTGCCCGGCCGATGCCAGACGAAATGCCTGGCCAACACCAGATGAAATACCTGGCCAATGCCAGGTGACGAGCAGCCCGGCCAACGCTCAGGCACACGTCCAGGTGGGAGCCTGCAGCGGACTTGCCCCTAGGAACCGTCATTACTCCTGTGCCCTGGTAGCCTGCTCGCCTCTGCCGCACCTCAGCCATGGGTCGGCCACGTCTCTGCCACAGCTCTCGCCTTCTTTTTTTCGGCTTCTTCTCGAACAGCGTGGGTGCCTCTCACAGGTCTTTTTGAGACGTCATCTTAAGCACTGTGTCTGCACCTCATCCTTCTCGCTGACTACACGAAACAATCTCGCGTACACCCATTCTGTCGCCATCATCATCTTTTTCGCACCGATGCACTCGCGCACTTTTCAAACACCAAACTGGTTTCACTCGCGCACTTATCACACTCTCCTGGCGATCTCGGTAGATCAAAAATTACCAATTTTATTTAAAAAATATGGTCACCTCGAGTCTCTTGAATGAAAACTTCTAATTAATTGACATTATTGGTCTTTCAACTTGGAATATTCGAGCATTTTTACCTATGGCATGCATGCAAAATGACCTGGTGGTGGTAAGCACTTTATTGATAAATCTGGCAAATTCGTGGCCTGGGCCTAGGCCGCCCCCAAGGAGGACCGAAGACCCTGTTTCCTTGCCGCTTTGCGGGCTTGCCAGATGGCCCACAGTTGATCCCTGAGGTTGGAGGGGCACAGCTCCAACCTCCAAGTGTTATGCCGCCAAGTGTTATCGACGATTGGAGGTGCGCAAGTTATGCCTCCAAGTTATGACGCCAAGTGTTATGCGGCGGTTGGAGGTGAGCAGCACCTCCAACCTCCAAGTGTTATGCCGCCAAGTGTTAGCCGCCAAGTGTTATGCAACAGTGCTGCACATGGCAGCACGTCCGTGTGTTGCGACCGTGCACCCCCCGTGCTACTTTTGCCCTGCCGCACGACGACCGGCACACCATGACGGGAGGGCAGAGTTCCAAACCATGAGGTAGTGTTTTATTCCCCCGTAACAGTCAGAAACTCGACGCGCTACACAGGGTAGCCGAACTTTGAACAGTTTAGGACTGCCTGCTGCGCATGCTTGTCATTACCCTGTACATAAAGTTTTTTGTTTTATCACTTTCCTATCTTCTCTTTACAAGCGTGCTTCATAGTTTTTCTCTTTGGCTCTAAAGCATTTTTGTAAATCCTTTCTCATCTGTCAGTCACAAACCACGTGGCGAACGTCCATAACTATAACAGCCTGTTTCCTGCCTGTGTCTTGCTGGAGAAATGGAAACGGTGTCTTGCTAGAGAACTGGAAGACATAATTACCCTTGCTCTTCCATGGTTTCCTGGAGCTCGAGGCACTTGATCTCAAGCTTGCGCTTGCGTTCATGATCAAGGATCTCTGAATTGGCTTTGCGGATGAGCTGTGCATCTAGGCGCTGAATGTCCTCCTCTGTCTTGTAGTTGACCTTGTCACGCGAGCGCTGCACTAGTGAAAGGTTGCGCTGGACATAGCCATTGGTGCCACTGCCACGGGCAGTCTGCAGCCCAATGCCATTGTACATGTTGTCGTTTCCTGCAAGAGAAGATCAGGGCAAATTCAATTCAAACGCAAGGACGCTTGTTCTGCACTTTAGAGGGGTCAAAATCAGAATTTAGCATGCCAGAATGCCTCTAATATGAATGACATAACATCACTCTCTCTTTAGTTTGGCTGTTGCAAGATTTCAGGCACAAGGTTCTCACAGACAGGACATAACGAAGATGCCCTAATATTTGTTTATGCTTCAAAAATAAGCGATGACCATCACTTTTCCTGCAGAGCTTGATTCAATGCATTCCCACAAGCAGTTGCAGGAACAACAACATGCAATCTCTTGCTATTTGTAACCGACGACTTAATGATTATTGAACAGAGTTGGAAAGTCAGCTGAGAGCTTTCAGAACAATCACGCGACACATAGCTGTGGTAATGCACCTTTGAAGCGTAGTCCACTTTTTTTTCTGATGACATCTATGTTTACCGGTGTCTGCACGTAACACGACAGCAGAAGTGAAGCACTCCACATTTCAGAAACCCTCAAGCAGTTATCGTCGGGAATGCTTTATCTACCCCAGCAAAAACATGAGACCAAAATTTAAAGGGCCACTCACCAGGCCCTATACCAAATTTTAGTTGGACCGTGGAAGTTGTTAGGTGTCCGATGAGGAACATTTTGCCACACACATTTTTTTAATCGTTTCGTTACGACCTGAGAAAACTGCTTTTTTTTTTGCGACGCAAAGCGAGCACGAGAGGAGGCGAGCTCGAAACCCTTGCCGCTCCCCCGCGTAGTCTTCGCAAGCCGAATCTCTTCCCTACCCTCTCCAGCATCCGACCAAGAGGTCACGTGCGCATCATGTGCCCGAACAAGCCCAACCCCCATACGCGAGCGTTTTTTTGTTTTTTTTTTTTTTTGACCATGCAGTGTTATTTCATATCATGGTTTACTGCCTGTTTCTGCAAAATAAGTCGGAAACGCTGGCTTAGACGCGGTAGAATAGATGAGCACAATGAGTGCGCGAACGCGTACGAGCGTTCCACGGCTGTTGTCGCCTCGATAGGCTGACTGCGAATACGAGCGCATACGAAACACCGGCACATTAGCCCCGCATCTCGTTGCAATTCACGGAGAAAAAAAAATAAAAAAAGAACGTTCATATTTCCTTATTGCATCTCATTATTTATCTACAGGTTTCTTGATCTCTTCAAGCAACAAATACATAAACTACACATGTTGTGTAAAAAATTTTCTCCACGTGACTTGCCACTGTTGGCAACGTCAGAGCATAGCCGTCTACGTAGAAGACCAACATCACTGCATTGCCGTGTACATAGGGCCATTCATACGCACATGTCATGCCCTTATTCTCTGAACACGCGCCCGCAAAAGGAAGGGGGAGCAGCGTTCATACTGAAATTTGACCCATTTCTGCGGCGGATAGCGTTGCAAATTTTAGCAGATGTGATCATGAATGCCTCATCTACGCATTGCGTTTATCAGCTCAAAATTGTCAAACCTGGTGAGTGGCCTTTTAAGCTCAAGTTTCCTTCGACAACTTGCATAGTGCGTGAGCAATATTTTGTACGTATATTTGTTAGAGTGTTTTAGATACGCTGAGTTTTTGTTCCTATCACTGTTGCAGTTTACAAAAATCACCACCAATAAACCACCTCTCCCCCTATGGCCATGACACGAGGCATGATCTGATAGCAGTGCGCTGGCTCCCCGTGCCAGGAAGAAAATTTGAGAAGACCCCGTAGGCAGCTAGCTATAAGAGACTGTTGTGGGAATCGCTCGTGAACGCGACATGCGCCCCACGAGGCCAAAAGGGTTTCTATTATTTTGCCGAACTGTTGAGATTAGTTTCAACTAATGAAGTAATTGATCGATTGATATGTGGTGTTTAACGTCTAAAACCACCATATGATTATGAGAGACGTCGTAGTTGAAGGCTCCGGAAATTTTGACCACCTGGGGTTCTTTAACGTGCACCCAAATCTGAGCACACGGGCCTACAACATTTCCGCCTCCATCAGAAGCCGAGTACCTTAGCCACTAGACCACCGCGGCGGGGCTTCAACTAATGAATGTTATGGTAGTTTTCACCTTACAAGTTGTGACCATGGCCCAGTGTTTCCAAATGCTACCGAGCAAACTGGCGAATACTCATCACAAATAACAGGAAACGATGAATTTTCCCATTCTTTATAATATATTTAATTATGACTAAGACAATGTAACTCAAATCTGAGTTTAGAAAATCACCAAATTGTTTTTTTATAGCAAAAATATGCTCCAATATGAACTAAAGCTAAGAGGGTTGTACAGAAAGTAAGCTTCCCAATCGAGGTAAGGTTTAGGCCAACCCCGACATCAGTAGTTCCCGCTCTACCGTGCATGATTTGCTATGTTGCTCAGTGGCAGCCATGGAAGTGTGGATGTCACTAAGGTTTATGCTGAAGAATGCATGTCTGTTCAGCACATCTGCAAATGCTGCAAAGCTTCTCCTTCTAGAAGGGGGGCAACAAGCAGGCTCTATCATCACAGGATATGAAACGCAAGTGTTTCATTACATCCCCGCAACAAAACAGCAATCTCAACAGTGGTGTCACCCTGGTTCATAGCCGCCAACCTTCAAGAGCGAATTTCAAGTGTGAGCAGAGGTCGCACACCTTAGCAAATTGGCGGGAGACTTCTCTGACTTGTAACTACAAAAGCTGGAGCACAGTCTTCAAAAGTTTGTCGAAAAAAATGACTACGTTGAAAAATATGGAAAAGTGTAAGCTACTCAACAATATATAAATTATTAATAATTAACAATGTTTTTTATTTTATAAAAATACAAGAACCTTACTTTTTGTACAACCCTCCTGTATACTTCTAAACACTTTTACCAGGGTAGCTTTCCTTCAGTTAAAGGCATGTTTGCCGCGCATGATTAACTTGTTGATTAACCCAATGTATGTTTGACTTCAACACTCAGCCATAGGCATGCACACACAGGGGCATTTCAGGAGGTGAGCAGGGCTCCCCAGTCCCCTAGAGAGGGGGTGTAAATATGCCCCCCCCCCCCCCATTGACTTAGTAGGATGGACCATGAACTTTCACCCCCCTCTATGGGGAATCCTGCATATGCCTCTGCACTCAACTGCTCAGTCATCGACACACACGCTATTCAACACACTGACACAATGACAAATGTACATTTTAAACGTGAGGATCACTGATGTAACTGTTCTTGCTGAGAAAATACAAGTAAGCCAAAACAGAAAATGCAACAAGCAAATGGACATTTTTATGAGTCAACGAAAAAAATAAGATTAAATCTACCCATTATAACTGAAACTGGCCACTCTGCTGCTGTCACAGACGCCAAGATGGCATACAAATCAGGTCAACCAATTCATTCGCCTGCCTGGTGTGACACATCACTGGCAACCCTTTCATGCCCAAATGGCAAAAGTGGCTATGGCCGTTTATTTTTCCTTTTACCACTCTGAGTATTTGCATTTATCAAAATCGCTGATAGTGTGAGTTAGTAATTCACCCCTGAAATACAGACACACTATTTCAACAGCAACTTAGAAAAACGGACACAAGTGCATACAACCAACTAAAAGTTTAGTTGGAAAGCAATGACATACACTGAAATTCCATTACGACGACACTGACGGGGCACATAAAAAGTTGGTTGTTACAAAATTTCATTGTAATGAAATTTCATCGATCAACAACAAAATTCGTTAGGATACGATGATTATGATCCTCGTCCTTTGTCCCAGAAAGCGCTTGCATTAGCTAAGTCGCTAACTCAGGCCTACCTAGCCGCAGGCCCAGTAAACATATTTTTTGGGTATCACACAATAATAATATACAGAAAAGTTGGAGGCTAAACTCGTGGTGCGGGTAATACAGGCGTTTTGGTGGGCAAGTTGGCTCCATGGTAATGCAAGGAAGGCGGCTTTGGGCAGCGCCTCCTTTATTTTTTTCAGTACCCGGGCAAAGGAGTGGATTTCAATGGGAGGTGCCCGTGAGTACTAGCGTGGCATTTCTGCCACCACGTGCCACAACTGGAGTAAACATGTCGCCGCGTCATTTCTCGCGCAAACGAATGCTGCGGCTGTATTCGAAGTTATTATACGGCTAGGTTTTCGGCTGTATTGGCATTATTTAGGGTATAACAAAAACTTGCAAACGAGAATCGTGAAGCCCTTGTTGTTCTGGACAACCAGCCCATTTCAAAGGCATATGTCGTTTGTGTCTATTTGATCGAGGCACTCTTGCATCATCTGCTAGGTCGATATCAGATAACTTATGCAAGTTATCTGCGGAAGATTGTTTTGTCACAGTGACTTTCACTTGACTGAAAGTTGTTCTTTTGGCTCACTGAAAGTCGATTTTTGAGAAAAGCCTTTACCGGGAGCTAATAAAAGCTTGGATGCTATAATGTTGGCGGATAGTTGCTGCTGTCTAGTGGTGTAGCACATTACTCGCAAGCTTAGAGTTCATGTGCTGAATAGCACAAAATACCAGTAGACTGCTTCCAGGGATATAGGTGATCCTCCGTTACCTTCGCAATGTTTTTGAGTATTACATGTGTTGCCACCGAGAGAAAGCAAATGCCATAAAATGAGGAACTTTGCCAGGTGATTTCACCATTTGAGAGCATAAACAATGAGATCGTGCTGAAACAAACAAAAACAGCTCAATATGCGGCGCGACTCCTGCAATCATGGCCTCTGTTTTGAACAGGTGCTGTTAAAGTCTAATGCAGACTTTCAACATTAGCTAATGTGGCAGTCGAGTAAGATGCCACCTGCTGTCAGTTGCTTGAGCTCGTCTGTGTACTTGTTGATGGATTGTTATATCCGGCTGCTCAACTCTGTTTCCTTGTTCTTGCCACTGACTTCCTAATTGGATAGCGAGCAGAGGCCAAATGGCTGTCAACCTGGATCTTTTTGTCACATGGGGCGCTCTGTTCAGCAGTAAAAGCAGGCAATCCTTACGACACAGTATATGAAAATTGTGGCTT